TCTTTTACTTGCCTTCGTACCATCATTCCTATATATGTGTTAGCAAATTGTAAGCAGAATATGATGTTTTAAGCAACTGCAATAATTATAACTTAATATATTTAAATTATATATCAAATTAAAATCTTTAAAGATTTCAGTAACTAATTCATAATTGAAATTTATATAAATTGTTGCATTCCGTAATTATATTAATTGTGATGGATGTACTTAAGTATGTACATTGTATCTATATTATAGTGCGTAATATATTTTTCTTAAAAGAATTATTACAATCATCTTGAACAAGAGATAAAAGATAGAAGTTTAATTAGAGGTAAAGAAATCGAATAATTTCTCACTCAAGATGTTTGTAATAATTCTTTTAAGAAAAATATATTACGCACTATAATGTACAATGTGCATACTTAAGTACATTAATTTACAAGTAAATTAATTTCGTATTACGTTATGAAATTTAATTTCTATACTACATTTTATACTCACCGATACGAAAGAATCTAGATTCATATTAATAACGTATGCACTATTAAATTCAATAGGTATCATCGCGCGATTCATAATTATCAAAAGACTCTTTTTAGTTTTATTGTCCAACGCGATCCATTCTATTTCGAAAATAGTATCGACTAATTCAATGCTCTATAAATTTATTATTATATCTTAATTACTTAAATATTTTACTTTTAGGCTCTCTTCAGAAAACATATAATAATTTTCATATACATATATGCACATTCGTAATAATTTAGAATAATATAAATATGCACACCATCAGTTTGAGTTTATTTCCAAACCAGCAATAGATGAAAATTTGTACAAGCACACAAAACATATATGCAAATAACATAATGAAATTTACGTTTAATGTAATTCGAGTTAATTGGAACAAATTTGAGCACATTACAAATGTACTTGCTATGAATTGAAACGTGATTATCCTTGTGAACCTCTCGTTAGTTGCGTGTGCGAATCTGTAAACAATATTTTTATATACTATAAGCATTAAAATTATTACCCTGAAAAAATTAGGAAACAGGAACTTGTTAAAAAGTGATTAACTATTAAAAATATTCTAAGGTTAGATTTATCAAGATTAACTCGATTTTCACAAGACTAACTTGATTATCTGGCAATGGTGGTGTATACAGTTACGCAGAGTATTCTGGTCATTTATGAGACCTTTTAAACGATATTGTAAAATCGTAATTTGACAGCATAAATGCATTAACAGACCGACAATGAGACTGTCACAAGCAACGTTGACAAGGCATGAGAATATCACGCCTATGTATTGATGAGCATATGTGAGACAAAATAGCATGAACGACGAGTAATCATACGGTACCCATCCTCTGAATGTTAACTGCCTTTTTCTAAAATTCGTCATTAACGATACCAAAACGTGGAGTACGCAAGTAACCATAATTAATGTAAAATAACACATTGCATTTTTCCTAGGAAAAACATGAAATATAATTATAGTCCTTACCTTGCAAGGCAGAACAATTTTTTATTCTAACAGAAAAATATTCCCTACACGGAGAGAATTTTCTTTTAAAATTTACCTTAAAAATCATGTTAATCGTAAGACAACATATTATTTCGACAAATTTTATGTGATTTTCAGAGTAAATTTTAAAATAAATTTCTCTCCATGTATATATAAAATTTATTCAAAATATAAATAATAAAGTATAAAAGAATGTAAATGTATACACACATATAATGCTTATAGTATTTTATTAAAATTATTGAGAATGTAATCTATGTGGAAAGAATTTTTTAAGAAATGCATTGATGGTTTCTAAATATTCTGAATACATACAAATTAATATTGCAATTATTACATCTGCAAAACTTTATTACTGTTCATATAATTCTCACAAATTAAATATAAATCAAGATATAACTTCGTACTTACTGTATTATTTTATCGAATTTTTGTCGAATTTTGATTTCGACAGATACTAATGGTTTAAACATTCCTTCCGTAAGATTCTGAATTAACTTCTCGAAACTTTCATGATTTACCCACATATTGAGTATTTTATAGCATGCAACGAACATAGACAACATCGTATACACGATGTTAGTGAAATCATCCGGATTGTCGACGTTCAGGACAACGTCCATAAACTGCGTAAATGTGAAGCTGTACATTAAGCTAATTATTAATAATATATAGATGTTATATAATGTACGTTTGATCAGTGACGTCCACGAAAACGGTCGCCAGCATCCAGCAGTTGCTAGAACCGCGAGTGTGAATTTCAGCGCGTCCATGTGTCCTTTAAACGAAATACTCTTTAAATTCCTCGATATAACAATTAAGCGCCACGCGCTTTTTCTTAAAAGAAGTTTTTACAATTGTATTAATCTAATATGTACAACAACATTATCAATATGTGATTTGTGTTGTAACGTTTTGAAGTTGCTCTTCGTGTGTTTCTTTGATATATGTAGGTACGTGATATACGTTGCGTGATAGTATTGCCGTTATATGCATCAGTCACATGAGTCAGCTGAGGAAAAAGACTATACAGCGTCTATAGCTCATGCAACACGATTTCTTGACTGAATTTTTCCCTTGAATAAGTAATATTATTATTGTAATAGGAAACCTGGACTAATGTTTTCCGTGAATTGACATTTTCGTGAGAATTCCAGTCTTATACGTATATATTATAGTATAAGCTGTCGACATGAGTTTAGACGTATGAAATTTTGATTTACATTGTGTGTTGAACTCGTCCATTATAAAATATTTTATTCATTAGTGTCGCTGTCCGCGACTTCGGTTTTCTGCAGTCTGGCGTCCCCTGGTTGTTTTCTGAGTATCTGTATGCATTTTTTATTAGGTATAAATACAGGAAGCAAGCATCTTCACTTTATTCATTTTTGTAACGTGATGCATTTCATAGTGAATAATATTCGGATTGAATGGAGACAATCAGAGTAATTTGTTCTCCCATATAGTCATTTCTATAGGATTTCTTAACTTTATTAATGCGTAATAGAAATATAAACAATATTTTGAAGAAAAATTTAACATTATTATTTCTACTACAGTTATTACTTTTTGCATTTTTTTTATATAATATACGATAGACTATTAATTTTTTTAAAACACGTTATTACCAATTTAACTCGCACACTATTTACATATTAAATGTTAATTATAAGATTATTATATTCGCAATTTTCTTTTTACACTGGTTTTATATTCGTTGTAGCAAAGTGTATGCTGAATATGATATTCTGAGTACCTGCAATATGTAAGTGTATTTTAGAATTGTTAATAACGTTATCGATACTTTAATAGCAAAAGAATTTTATCAATGATAGTGCAACGACTTATACTTCTTGTATACTTAAATTATTGCAATTAAGTATGCAAATATAAATACATTAAGATTAATAATAAATGTGCAACGCTAAGAAAATAAAAAAAGAAAAATACACAAAACGATATCAATTTTTTATCAATCAAATTGTTTGCCAAAATAATAAATTAATTAATATTAACCCCTACGAAAGATTCAAGATTCATGGAAAAGAGATATGCGCTAGTAAATTCGATGGGTATCGTTGCTCGATTCATAATCATTAGGAAAGCTTTTCTAAAGCTGTTGTTCAATTCCGGCCAATCCATTTCAAAAATACGATCAATTAAATGAAGGCTCTATAAATAAGTGATAAAACATTAAAATAATATTTGTGCACTGTATAATTATTAAAAATAATGAATGATATAAATTGCACATACCTTTAATTTAACCTCATTTCCAAACCAACAATAAATGAAAATTTCTATCATCATACAGACTGTATATAACACTAACGGAAGATGTTTTGGACTTAATGTTATCTGGGCCAATTGGTATAAATTGGAACACACCACCAGCATGCTCGTTATAAATTGAATAGCGATTGTTTTTGCGAATCTTTTGTTTACCACCGAAGCAAAGCTGCAATTCAAATTATCTCTGTGTTTCGCAATAAACAAAATTGTTCGTAGTTAATTATATTAAAGTAATAATAATTTTAACTCTTTTATGCCGAATCTAATTTAATACCGTGCCAAGAAGCTATTCACTTCCCTGATGCATTAACAATAATGAGGAGTCTCAATTCTAAAGGATTAATATGAAGTATTAATTATGTATTAATTACATAAAAGAAAATAATGTGTAAAAAATTAAATTTTCAAAATATGTATATTGAGAGTTAAGTAATATGATTAGTATGATTAATGTAGGATGATTATAATTAATATAGGAAAATTTTAAACATGGAGAAATGGAAATTAAAATATGTTATAAATGCGAATCAGATTCGTTTTTGTCCGTAATTTGCGACAATAAGAGCGCTTACGAAACTGACTCAAATATAAGGTCATGGTGACGTACGCAGTCGCGCAAGTTTTCCCAGGTATGCGATTTGTTCAATCGGTATTCCAATATTTCAATCTGGCAGCAAATGTGCAGCAAGAGACCGCAGATGAAGCAGTCGCAGGCGAGATTGATCAGGGCGCATGTTAACAAGCATATTAACTGATGAGTATATGCGATAGAAAATAACGTTGGAGACGAGTAGTTGAATGGTAACCAGGCCTTGTAAGTTAGATCCCCCGTTCTGAAGTTCGTGAACAAAGAAGTTAGGATGATGCACGCACACGTCAACTCGACCAAGACGAAGCAAAATAATGTGTTGTTCCTGTGAAACAATATTTTTAAATTGATTACAAAATTCATTACTTCTTTATTTCTTCTAATTCATTCGTGATATAAACGTGATCGGTTTTTATTTTGATAACAATCCACTCGCATTATTCTCGCTGAACAATTTTATTCGAATAATACTAATTGCAGCTTTATTAGTTGCATTACTTTTATCAGTAAAATAAGTAGAATTCATAAAATATTTTTCGCGGATAAACATTTACACATATATTATTAAATATAATATTTACCGTATCATTTTGTCAAAAGTTTGGCGGATCTTTATTTCGGCGGCCGTCACGGGTCTAAATGGTTCCTCGATAAGGGTATTAATAATATCCGCTAAATGTCTATGATTCACCCACATATTGGATATCTTAAAGGTCGCAATGCACACGGTCATCATCATGTACAATACATTAGTAAATTCCTCGGGATTGGCAGCATTCAGAACAATGGCCATAAATTGTGAAATTGCGAACGAATACAACAGGAGAACCAGAAGTAACGTATAAACGTTGTAAAATTTATATTTGTACGAGGATATCCACGACGATGGTGGCCAGCATCCAGCAAATGTCATTAATACGAGCGTATGCTTTAACAGATCCGTTTTATCTTCCGTGTTATCATGCCGAATGTGATTCTTTTGAATCCTAGAATTACCGGAAATTGACATTTCGCTATAAAAATTATTATCCAATTCAAATACGAAGGAAAAAAAGTTGACTCTCTGTTCACATCAATAGTGTAAATAAAAGTGTTCGAATAATATAAATTTAAAGGCTTGAAGAAATACGAGAAAGTTTTATTGTGGGAAATTGAAAATTGTATTAAGTTGAACAAATTTATAGGGATTCCATAGAAAATAGTATAATCAAATTCCGATCGCGTGATGGATAATAACAGGCAATATTTTCTACGATACTGGCAAACTTTGAATTTCCATATATTGTCTATAGAAGATGTTTTCCGCCTGCAAGTTCCTCTATTCGACATTATCATAGCATAGAAATTAGCGTCGCAATTACTAATAACATCTTTTCATTTCAGGTTGAATTGCCAGTGGGAATTTTTTCGAATATAAACTTTATACGACAATAACATAATGCGCTACTGAAAAACTGAGATATTCAGATAAAAACGATGGATATACAGGAGCTGTTCGCTTATAGACTGCCATCGATAATTTGTCTTCATGCAATTTTGATGAAGGTAAAGTTATCATCTAAATGTTTCTTTAGAGAGAGTTTTTCTATTGCTATCAGTGTTGTCTCGCGTTACTCTCAGTCGTAATTTGTTCTGCTTCTCGCATCGATTTCTACATTTGCGTCTCCTGAGTGAAGATAAGTGCGAATAGAAACGTGCATCTATAATGTGTACATACCTGCTAAATGTAACCGATCTTTACAAATATATCTACATTTTGCCAGTTATTTTCACTGAATGTATTATTTTCTGTTTCTATATTTTTTATAATATATATATATATATATATATATATATATATATTCTTATATTTTTCCGATATATATTCTGAATTGTTTCTTGTGCACGAATGTTATTCTAATTTGTTTTGTAATCTTCCCTTGAAGATCGTAAATTTTCGACATAAACACGTACATTATAATTTTTTCAATACTCGTAAAATCAACAAAATTGACATAAAAATGATAAAATCTATAAATTTTATATTTGAGTACATTTAATGACGATCTTCGATTTTTATGGCAAATATTGAAAAAAATGAGTAAAAGACATAATACAAAAATACAGATAAATAATACTTTCTTTATTAATATAAATATTTTCGTATCATTTTCCATATGTAATTGCGCAAGAGACTGCGATTACCGTTGCAAGTACTTTTTCACTTTTTCAACGTTCCTTGACATGCACTACCTATATTTTAAATACTATTCGGTCTCCTTTCTTTAATAGCATCATCATCATTATTCTTCGTTCGTATGTTTAAGTATATTATATACAGAATACGACATCTTAAGTAACTAAAGAACATATCAATTTTTATGTAACATTTTTCAAATCGCTATGATAGTATAATAAATTTATCTCTAACCTTCACGAACGAATCTAGATTCACTGTAAGAATATATGCACTAGAAAATTCGATGGGTGTCAGAGAGCGATTCATAATCATTATAAGATTTTTTCTTACTTTCTGGTCTGCTGTTATCCAATCCATTCCGAAAATTTCATCGGAAAATTGAATACTCTGTAATAAAAATTGTCAGACAAATACACATTTTTTATTGTATAAATAATGTTCAAATGCATTATACATGGTCTATTCCCAAAAGTAACCCAAATAACACAGTTAGTTTAAAAATACGTTTAATAAACATTGAAAATTAATTTTAAACGTTTAAGTTGAAAAAATAAACGTTTAAAATTTGTTACGTTTTTTAAAGTATTTTAGAAGACGTTATAAAAACGTTTCATTTTTTAAAAATTGTTTTTAGACATTTTAATTCTTTTACATACATGTATATATATGTATATATATACACACACACATATATGTATATATATATATGTATTTTTTTTAGTATTATAATATAGCATACTGATCACAAAGGTTAAGCGATACTCGATAGGGTTTGGATGGGACCGCTTAAGATTACCGTGAAATTAATTTCCAAATCTATGTTTTTTTTATCATAATTTTGTCATGTTATATATTATCTTTTTTTCTCTGAAATGTAATGATAATCAATAAGATTTATTTTAGAACTAGAATTAATTGCTATAATTGCTATCAGTTCTAAATAAAAATTTTTACTAGTTTAAAATACCGTTTTTATATAAAACATTTCGACGGTTTAAAAATGTATCGGCTAAACGTTTTTTAAACTTTTATTAAACATAGCTGTGTTGCTTGGAAATAAGACTAATTCTGGAAAAACCGTTTTATTGAAAATACACTTAATATTTTTCAAAGTAGAATCCTTGAACGTTTCAGCGTTGCTGCCACTCTTCCGTAGCAATACAGGAAGTTTTGACCGGACATGCTTTCTAAAGCACTTGTCTGCTTTTTAATCGTCGTAATACGGTCCGGTCAAGTCTTCCTGCGCTGTTATGAAGAGTGGCAGCAACGCTGGAACTGCTGTATTAACGTTCAAGGATTCTACTTTGAAAAATATTAAGTGTATTTTCAATAAAACGGTTTTTCCAGAATTAGTCTTATTACTTTTGGGACAGACCCAATATCAAATTGTACATCAATATAACGTTAAATTTAAATTCAAAAATTTTTTGTCCTATTGATTATTAATGTGAGTTTAATGGGATCTTTCATCATTTTTAGATACATTGACAAAACGCGTATATAATTATGCTAATTATTACCTTTAATTTAACTTCATTTCCGTACCAACAATAGATAAGAATTTGCATACACATACAGATTGTGTACGACATCAATGGAATGTATTGCGCGCTCAATGTGGTTTTCGCCAATCGATAAAGATTGGAGCACACCACTAACATGCTCGCTATGAATTGAACAGCAATTATAATCCTGAACTTTTCATTCATAGTGCGTGCAAACCTAAAAGAGAACAATATTGTTACCCTTGAAATTATTATTATTGCTTATGATTAAATATTACTATAATCTGGATTGAATTAAACAATCCTTATCTGATTAATAAAAAAAAAAGTATTAAAATTAAGAATGTGTCAGTATGTTTGTGTATGTATGCACTACGTTGCATGCTTTGTTTTAAGATTAATTACGAAATAAATTTAAGTACAAAATTCTGTACAAAGACTAACTTATAAATATGATTGTGCTGACGTACACATTCACCCAAGTCGCTTCGATCGCGCAAGGATTTCCTCACGCGACACTCTAAAATCTCGATCTGGCAGTAAATATGCAACAGCAATCCACAAATGATTATATCGCAAGCGACATTCACGATGGACGCAACCGTCAAGCTTATTATTTGGCGAAAGTACGTAAAATAATACACTGTATCGGACCATTCAAAGGGTGTCCACTCCCTATACGCTAATTTTCCTTTCCGAAAGTCCGTCAACAAAGATGTCAAATTCATGCATCCACATGTCATCTCAACCAAAATAGTGTAGATTATAGAATTGGTCCTGCAAAATGACTATGGAGGCTGGACTAATTCGCAATAACTTTGTTTTTGTATTTCTGTCCTTTAATTAAAAAGAAAGAAAAAAATATATTTTCTACTACTTTCTTGAAATGGCAAAAAAATTTTCAACTTATCTACATATTTATTCTTTGTTTCACTAATAGAAATATAATATCTTGTATTTGCCTTTTTATTAACTAAATTAAAAAATGCTACAAAGTAATTAATTTTATAACATATAATATGAACATGTAATATTAAGAATATTAGATGTAAAACCAATATAGAGAGAATCATGAGACAATAAAATTAAAACATGCTAGATCCTTTTATTTCTTTTAAATGTTTCGACTTCTTACCGTACTATGTTATTATATTTTTGTCGAATCTCGATTTCATCTGGTTCCAAAGGCCTAAAAGGTTTCTCAACCAACGCGTCAATAAACATCTCGATATTCTTGCGATTTAGCAATAGACTGAGCATCTTGCAGAAAGCGATGACCGTGGCCAGCATTATATAAAAGGTATCCGTGAAATCATCGGCATTATCGACATTCAGAATAATATCCATAAATTGCGGCAACATGAAGGTAAATAGTAATGAACACATAATAATTGTGTATGTATTATATACTGTCCGTTTGCATAGTGAAGACCAAGAAATTGGTGTCCGGCATCCCGCCACCGTGAGGATTTTCAATGGAAATTGCATTACTTGCATTTTTTCCTCTAACATATCGCATTTACTAATAGTATATTTTTATTTCAATTGAATTGCCAGTGGGAATTCTTTCGAATGTAAACTTATTGTTAGACTAAGATCTTAGAAATATCTTTTATTAATTTTAGAAAATAATATTCAATAATACAAATGGCTTTCACTCGAATAAAAGATATTAAGCAATTCCATGCAAATTTCGTACATTGATATTTTAAAATAATTTTATGACTTCTCGACGAATTTTCCAATGTCTATAAACACGCAACGTTACGCTGCACTCGTCTCGACCTTTGGAGAACTACACTCGGCTAGACCTTTGGAGAACTACACATGTCATCATGATAATTATATGTATACCGAACTTGAAACATATTCCGATCGGTAATAATACTTTTGTAAAATAGTATGCATATCTGTGTGTCTTTTTGAAACCTTTATATAACGTGGCGTTACACTAAAATGAAATAACGAGAAATAATGTAGGAAAAACCTGCGGACAACGAAAGCCTTAGACCATAAATTATGGTGTGTCACCATGAAATTTTAATGCAGGCGAGCTATACTTACATACAAAAAATATGGAATTTGTTACTGCCGCCAGTACCGCCTTACATCCAGCTGTCACCACTAATTCTGCTGCGTATATCGATCGATTCATATTTCTGGCAGGGTACAAGTGGTTGAAAGAAATCATTAAATATACATATATGGGTAAAGTGAATATATACGTTTACGATATACATTCAGTTGCTACTGAATCAGCGAAATATTATATTGCGCAGAATTGCTTTTTATCTGTTAATTTTAAAGAGTAAATTCAAGAATTGCATATATAGAGTGAGGAAAGTGTAAAAATTCCCAAATAAAAAATTTTTTTATCAAAAATCAAATATAAAAAAATGTTTTAAATAAATAAGGACATAATATTTTCTCAATTAATTATTTCATTTTTGAAATATTTACAGAATATATTTAAATAAAGATCGTAAATTATATCTAATAAGAATAGCAGAAGCATATATTAATTAATTATTTTTCATTTATTAATACTAGATAACAAGAAATTTTAATGATTAGCATTAAAGTAGTTTAATTGGAAAATGTAGCACCCTAGTTTCTATACTATCCTCAATATGAATTATGTTGTTTGCATTTGTTGTAATATGTTATAAGCCGAATATGATGTTTTAAGTAACTGCAACAAAAATGTAAATCTCTTTTTAATTTATTTTGTAATTGTTAATTTTGTAAAATGTTAAATAATATTGTCGAATGTGTGTGTGTGTAATAAAATATATATAGGTACATAATTTATATAATTTTTATTAATTATTTATTAATCTCCAAAAACTTTATAGAAATTATAGTTTTTATATAGAAAGAACAGTGTTTTTAGAATGTATAATTTGCGTAACATATTAACAATTATAACATTATTAAAAAAGAGATCAAATTTTTCTATGTGTATACATCAACTTTATAACCTACAAATTATAAAAATCGAAATATCTATTATTTTCAGTAAAATTATTATTAAATAATTATTAAGTGTTTAATGGCAACAGACTATACTCACGCTCACGAAAGACTCGAGATTCATTGTAAGAATGTACGCGCTAGAAAATTCAATGGGTACTAAAGAGCGATTCATAATTATTAATAAGTTTTGTTTTCTGCTTGGCTTCATTGTCAGCCATCCTATTTCAAAGATATGAGGGGCAAGTTGGACACTCTATAATTAAAAAATATAACATATGCGTGAATTAAAACATATTATACAAGATTTTTTCAAAAGAAAATTGTAATTATAATGTTTCCTAATCCGAGGCTATTATTAAGTTTGTTACAACTGTTTGTAAGAATACAGATTAAGAATTGTTGCATCTATTATAGGAAATATTTAATATCGCGTAAGTGTTTACTAATTTATACAATATTGCATGTTCGCAATTTTCCGAAATATGCACATAATTCACACCTTTAGCTTCACTTCATTCCCATACCAACAATAGATAAGAATTTGCGTCAGCATGGAGCATGTGTATAATACCAATGGAAAACATTGCGCATTTAATGTTATTCTCGCCAATTGATATAAATTGGAACACACCACCAGGGTGCTCACAATAAATTGAATGGCGATAATTATCTTGAATTTTTCGTTCACCATTAACGCGAATCTGTAAAATATAAATATTTTAAAGAAAATATTTATTTGAAAACACAAATTTTTATTTTTAAAATATTTTAAAATATATATTTATTTTCAAAATATAAAAATAAGAAAAATAAATTTTTATTTTATTATTAACGCTCAACAGTCATTCGCAAAATTATTCTGAAAAAGCATATGACTGATTTTTTATTTTCCAAATATTTCATTCACCAATTTACAATGTCTGCAAAATCGTTAAAGAGACTAACTTAAATATACAGTCGTGCTGACGTACACAATCGCGCAGATTGTCTTGTCCAAAGGAACTCTTTTTCAGCCGACACTCCAGTATTTCGAGCTGACAGCATACGTGCAATAATAAACCACAAATCAGACTGTCGCACGCAACGTTCACCATGGCGCCGAAAGTCGAGCTTATTAATTGACGAGCATATATGACACAGAATACTACCTCGGATGTGTAATTATACGGCGTCCACTCTCTATACGTTAAATTACCTTTTTGAAAATCCGTAAATAACGATGTCAATATAACGCATCCACACGTCGAATCGACCAAAATTGTGTACCATAAAGTATTAGTTCTATAAAATAACTAATTGTAAGCCGTTTGTTTTTTCATATTTCGCATTACATATCGAACATTTTTCTTTGCATCATAATACTGTATAATTTAATTACTCTTACAAAACTTTTTCCAATATATTTGCATATTTATGCATTCTTACAGCAGACGAAAAAAGCGATAAAATTAATTTTTTACTTACTGTATCGTTCTGTCGAATTTATGGCGAATTTCTATTTCGTCAGCCTCCAATGGAATAAATGGTTTCTCGGTAAGGATATTGGTTAATAATCCTATATTCTTGCGATTTATCAAAAGCCCGACCATTTTACAACAAGAAATGAAGATGGCGAGCATGATATAGAAAGTATCCGTAAAATCATCGGTATTGTCGACGTTTAGAATGACATCCATAAGTTGTGACAGCATAAAGGTGAATAGTAACAATATTACGAAAGCCGTATATGCGTTATATACAGTACGTTTGCATAACGACGTCCATGAATTTGGTGGCCAACATCCCACAATCGTAAGAATTTTTAATGTAAATTCGAGAACCTGCATTTTCCATGTACTTAATCTCACTCTCGAAGATATTAAAACGTTAATAACGTTATTATTCTTGTTATATAAATGTTATTATAAATTGTACAATTTATTATATTAATATCTAACGTTTTTTCTTCGTTAATTAATAATATTATTAAATATAAGTACTAATAAATTAAATTCTATTCTCACAAAATATCAACTGTTGACTATTATATACAGCACGTTTTTTCGAAGTAAATATTTGTTTAATATATAGAAAACTTAATGCAATAATTTAGAAAAGATTCCACGTGTAAATATGTTTAATTTTGTAGCATCGAACTGCAATCCTCCCGTGAGGTTAAAAAGTTTTTTCACATGTGTAAAATACGAAAGTCTCTTTCTCTTTATCAATAGCACCGTAAACCAACTTTGCGAAATTCCTCATACGACAAACCTCAGAATGTCTATAGCCGCACCATATGACTTTCCGACGGCAATACTCTAGCTTCCCCTCCGCGTTCGGCAGCTATATAATTATCATAATACTAAACTCGCAATATCGTTCCCCACTTTTCCCGCTACGGTTAGCATGCACAATCGTTTTCAAATGCAAACCTTATACGGCAACCATGGGATATAATAATACATTTAAATGCAGCGGGGAAAATGTAAGAGTCGTAGAAACTTAATAGATAAAATATAAATTGTATTTTACCTTTATAAAATATAAAACCTTTACAAAACATAATACTGTACAAGGAACCCACCAATTTATTTAGTAAATATTTATTGCTGCCGCTACGCACTTACTCCATTCGTCTCAAATTCTAATACCTATCCAATTCCGTTCCATCGATTTAAACAGTCATAATTTCTGACAAAATATAAAATGTAGCGAAAACTTTTCATAAGTGCACGCGCATCTATGTATATTTGGGATAAAATATGTTATAAATATATGTGTTATCATTAAAGGTACTTATTATTATATATGAAACATTTATCTTTCAAAATTTGAGAAATATATCCTTTTTCTTTTCCCAATATGATTATATGACTATAAAATTATTAAATATATAATTTTAATAGAACGCATTATATGTATATAAGTAATTGCCATTTATTTGTCCATTGATATAACTAGCTGGAAATTTCTACAGATGTCTATTGACAACAATAGACGAACAAGAGAACGATATGTTGAAAACCGTTTCAGTAATCTCAATTTTATTTAAATTTTTTACTCACGATTCCTATACTTGTTTTAATATGTTATAAACGGAATACGATGTCTTAAGTATCTGCAACGAATATATATGCAAATTAACTTTATAATCCATTTCACAATTCTTGTTTATGTAACATATTAATGTGATAAACACAGCACTATCGTAAACTTATAATTTCAAAAATATATTTAAATTAATTTCTCTAAATTGTTTATTTTCTTATTTTTTTAAAGTTAAACAAAATGTATTCTAATTAAAAATAAAAAATATTATTAACATTTGCAATAATAAATTATGGAATTGCAAATTAATTCTTTTACCCCAACAAAAGAATCGAGATTCATAGACAGAACGTAAGCGCTGGTAAATTCTATTGGTACTACTGCACGATTCATAATTATTAATAAGCTCTCTTTAACATTTCTGTTCATTGTTACCCAATCCATCGCGAAAATGTTGTTGAGTAGTTGAGTGCTCTATATTTCAGATCACAGAAAGTATTATTAATCTGTCAAAGGTTTAACAAACTTGATTACAAAAAATCGTGTATTATCACGTAAATACATAAACTGTAATACAAAATTATGTAATTTTGTATTTTTTAAACAAAAACGTGCGGAATAACTTGATTACGCGCACCTTCAACTTTACTTCATTCCCATACCAGCAATAGATAAAAATTTGTGTTAACATGCAGGACATGTACAACAGTAAGGGAAGATAGCTCGCATTTAAGGACGTTGATTTAGTCATTTGGTACAAATTAGAACATACCACCAATGTACTCACTATAAATTGCATGGCAATAGTCATTCTGAATTTATAATTTAATTCCAGTGCATACCTATAAAATATATTTCCGATAAATGATACTAATTTCTCTTTAGAAAATTTTTTAGAGAAATTTAAAGTAGAGGATACAAAATACAATAATATGCAAGAAAAAGTTATATTGAAATATTTCGAATCAGAATGCAAATAATTAAAAAAAAAAAATTTTTTTACTGATGTAAATTCTGTTATTTTTACTTTTTCAGGATTTTTACTTTTTGTGGAAGATATTTTCACAGAACGATAAGATAAAACAACTAACTGCAATATACTGTCGTGGTGACGTACACAGTCGCGAAGAGCATCGTGATTATCCGATATTTTGCTCAATCGACATTCTAAGATTTCGATCTGGCAGCAAATGTGTACCAGCAATCCGCAAATAAGACTGTCACAGGCGACATTGACGAGCGATCCAGCCGTCAGACTAATAAGTTGATGAGCGTATGTGAGGCAAAATACGATGGTGGACGAATTATAGTCATACGGTAGCCATGCTCTGTATGTTAAATTTCCTTTTCTGAACATCGTGAATAAGGACGTCACAGTGATACACGCGCAAGTTGTCTCAACCAAAATCGCATAGTAAAGCGTATTGATACTGCAAAATAACTGTGGAAATAGTTACGCTTATTTGTATAATACAGATTCTAATATTTATAATTATTAATTAACAAAATGTACTTGTATTTGTAATACTTACTTAAATATTATTATGAAATATTATTTTTGTGTTTACAAATTTTTATGTAAAAGGAAAGAATAAAAATTAATAGAAATTTTTCTAAATTTAAATTAAAGAAAAAATTATTTGTCCTTGAAAGTAATCTTTATTACTACACTTTATTACTACTTTTAAAACTTACTATATGAGTCTATCGAATTTATATCGAATTCTCATTTCGTCCACCTCCAACGGTCTGTACGGCTTCTCGACAAATACGTTAGTTAACATGTTAATGTTCTTACGATTCACTAGCAAACTAAGCATTTTGGAGCACGAAACAACCGACGCCATCGTGGCGTACAAATTTTCAGTGAAATCTTCGGCATTGTCAACATTCAAGATAATATCCAAAAGTTGCGATATTAAAAACGTGTACAATAATATAATCATAAAAACCGTGTACGCGTCATATATTACGCGCGAGTAAAACGACGAACATGATTGCGGCCGCCAACATCCGATAATCGTCAGAAGCTTGAAAGTGAATTGCAAGACGCGCATCTTTTGTTTCACGTTTATATTTTTTATCTGAACTTCACTTGAATCTTTCCACAGCAATTGCAAAATCAATTATACAGATAAAACTGTTTAAGAAATGTTGAAAAATATTTTGCATAAAAATTTTATTAACTACAGTATTTCTGATGCTACAGTATCTTTAAAATAAACTGAGAAACGACGTACAAGACATTTTCCGAACAACTGACAATCGTGGAACGTTTATGCACCCCTCTTTTCTTCTAAGATTCTATAGTCCATACTATTATGTTATTATCGTAATATCAAACCTGAATCATTGATCTGATAAATACATTTTTATTGCACCGTTATTATAGGTCTCTGAAAACACAGCTTCTATATATGCTGACATTTTTTAAGTAACATCGTTTTTAGTTACAAATATCGTATAAGAAACAGAAAAACATAGGTACTGTCATTTTATCATAAATTTTAATGTGGTAATTCAGTTATATTATTTCTCTCTCTCTCTCTCTCTCTCTCTCTCCCATAAAATTAAAATTATTTTACCCATGACCACTCGATATATTATTGAACAGTTGCCGTATTGATTTCAGGTATGTTCTGACTCCCGTTACAGGCAGATGTTTCAATTATATTACACAGCGAAGTGAGTCATAAAAAACAGGAAAGGCAAGAAAGTACAAAATGTAAAATATAAATTCAAAGCAAATGTTAACAAACAAGAAATAATTTAAAAAATATGAAGTAGAATACATAACACATTTAGGTAATTGTTTTTTTACTTTTTATAACGATAAATTATTCGAAAAAAAATAAATGCTAATTATAAATGCTAATTGCAAATATATATTTTTTCTTCTTCCTTTGCTTCTTCTCAGACTTGATCTCGTGTGAGTAGCATTTTAATTCCATCAATCTTTTACAGAATTACGTCCGCATTTTTTCAAGTAAGTTGTACGTGGAGTACGATGTCTTAAGTATCTAGAATTAGTGTATTAAGCTTTCCTAATCTTGATTAAATGCTTTGCTTAAATAAGTAAAAGTAATTAATAAATGCAACTGATTTCGTCAATAATATTAGACATTTTAGATTTTAACATTAAATATACATAGTGTTGAATTTGTTTATATTATTTTCAGTTTCCAATATTGTTCCAAATTTAATACGTCTCATGCATAATTATAATTTATTAATTAAAATTTAATTAAAAATAAACGGTTTAAATTGAAATTTTTAGTTTAAATATTTTGGTAATATAATAAGGCAATATATTATAAACAGTTTTTAAATGTAAAATATGTCTAAAATATGGTGAAATTAGCTTGACTAATATTTATAATATACTAACACCCACGAAAGAACTAAGATTCATGGGAATAATATAAGCACAGGTAATCTGAATAGGCACAATTGCCCGCTTCATTATTATCATTAGAGATTTTTTTTTATTTTCATCCAATTCCAGCCATTCCATTTCGAAAATTTTATCAATCATTTGATGACTCTACTAAAATATGTAAAATGTATCCGAGGATGACATTTATTTAAAAAATATATATTCTTATTATTAATAATAAGAATAATATTACTAATAACTCTTAAATATTTAAATGCTTTAACAATATACATTGCTAGCATTATGCAATTAAATATAGATTGAGTAAATTTAACGCGTTATTTAAAAGCATCTATACTCACCATACTATTAATTGTTTATTACCATACCTTTATCTTTAGTTCGTTTCCATACCAGCAATAGAAGAAGATTTGCGTTAACATGCAAGATATATATAATGTCATTTCAATATATTTGGCTTTCGCTGTTGTTTTACTTATTTGATAGAGGCTGAAGCATACCACTAATGTACTCATAATAAATTGAATAGTAATAGTCAGTCTAAACTTTGCATTTACAATACACGCAAGTCTAAAATTTAACAATTTTGCTTATGTAACGACATATTTTAATAGACTTGATGAGAAGAATATTATATAAAATGTATAATTTAAAAATCCACTTAAATAAATATTTAAATATATATAAAAATTTGTAGAATTTACAAAATAATAAGGTTTAACCTGAAGATATAATAATGTTGGAGTACACAATCGCGGACAACGTTGGAGTAAGATATAAATGTTCTCAAACGATAAGTCAAGATCTCAATTTGACAGCAAATATGAACCAATAATCCACAGATAAGAGTGTCACAACCAACATTTACGAATGCTGCGGCAGTCAAGCTTACTAGTTGATGAGTGTACATTAAACAAAACAATAATGATGACGAGTAATCAAATGGTAACCATGCTCTATATGTTAATTTTCTATTTTTGAAGTTTATAGATAACGAAGATAAAACGATACATGACATCGTTACCGTTCCCAGGTATACGAAGCGCCAAGTGTTAATTCTGAAATAATTATAAAATATAAACGTTAATAACGTTATTATTCTTGTTATACAAATGTTATTATAAATTGTACAATTTAGTATATTAATATCTAACAACGTTTTTTCTTCCTTAATTAAAAATATTATTAAATATAAGAACTATTAAATTAAATTCTGTTCTCACAAAATATCAACTGTTGACTATTATATACAGCACGTTTTTTCGAAGTAAATATTTGTTTAATATATAGATGACATAATGCAATAATTTAGATAAGATTCCACGTGTAAATATGCTTAATTTTGCAGCATCGAACTGCAATCTTCCTGTGAGAATAAAAAGTTCAGAGTTTCTTCACTTATGTAAAATACGAAAGTCTCTTTCTCTTTATCAATACCAACGTAAACCAGCTTTGCGAAATTCCTCATGCGACAAACCTCAAAATGTCTATAGCCGCACCATATGACTTTCCGACGGCAATACTCTAGCTTCCCCTCCGCGTTCGGCCACTATTTAATTATCATAAAGGTGCCTTTTCATACTGAC